ATTACAAAACTCCTTTTCCTTCTAAGAAAGAGGCTCCAGTTATAATTTTAGGGATAGGCAAAAGATTGGCCAAGACATTACTTATTGGACCAAGTAACAATATAAAATATGAGCCAAGAAACTATAGAGAAGTGTTCTAACTCAATTAAAAGGTCATTGAACTAATCAACGGATTAGGAGCAACACAAATTAATGGTTGCTTCCAGTTGTTGTAATTTGTTCTTAGGTTGAGCCAATTGATTTTGATGTTGATGTAATAACGTTTTAACATTATCATCCATATTTATTAGGTGTGAAAACCAACAACCTTGTTAAACCTAAAACTAGTAAGATTTTATAAATTAGATATCCAATGTAAGGATTCAAAATCTACTAGTAGATATACATACCATTGGAGTATAGTAGTTTCGTGAAAATTCTTCATACAATTTGAAAATTTCAAATTTAGAGCTTTAAATAAAACTAGAAGAAAGTATGATAGCTTCAAATATTTCAAAGGATTTTCTAATTGGTGATAATTCATGCTTGTTATGTGATTTAATTAAGAAGCTAGCTACATATGCATTGCACAGCGTGTCACATATAATGGTAGTTCTGAACATATACCTTTCACATATAATAACTATCAGCAGTTACTCTCAAATGGAACAACTTTGATTGTTTTATTGAAGAATAATCTACCGGATTTACTAATAGGTTATCTAGAGAGAAAAGACTACACATGAAGAGAAATTGGTTTAAAGCCTAAACTAATGAGTCAAGTTAATGGAAACCTAACCTGATGACTAGATATCCCATAGACTAGTATGAACTTGGCCGGTTCTATCAGAATTTCAATTGACGAATTTTCAACGTACTTATTGAACCTAAGAAAGTTCAAAGGCCAAACTAATGAACATGATACAGAACCAAAGTTTGATATCAGAGATAATATGTTTGATCAATTGTCTAGACTTGCAATAACGGCTAACAGTTCAAAATGTTGCGTTCATTGACTATCTAAACGAGTTCAATAAATTTTTACTAAAGAAGGTTCAAAGCAAAAGTCATAAAGTGTAATCTTTCAGATAGTACTATTCCTCGTTTTCATTGTTCTAGGCCGATTTCTTCCATTCATGTCGGGGATTATTAGAATTTACAGTACACATCAATTAAATGTATGTATTGGAATAACTCTTCAATAGGTGCAATGACTGTGTGCGACTCCTCAAGTGGAATATGATTTAGTTCAAATCCAAAAAAATATGATCCTATTTCTAATTTTCAATCCAAATCCAACATAATCAAATTGACCTAAATTTTATCCAAATCTATTATTCTATCATAGTGTCGCTCCTGCCATTTTGAAGAAATCGACTTGAAACTCAATAGCACCTCTTTTAATTATTGTGAGCCTGTGATTTTAAAAACAAGAAAATTTATGAAGAATTTAGCGAAGACAGACGCAAAAGACTAAAGATTGGATTACGTTATTTTTGTAAGAGCTAAGATCAAACATGTCATTGTTGAATTAATGTAGGTTTGTAAATATTAAAAAAATTAAATATAGTACGGAACCCAAGAATCGAATCGAATCGAATCGAATCGATCTGAACCGAACCGAATCGAATGGAATCAAACTCGAACGGTTTCGTAGTTAAATTTGAACCGACGGTTCAAGTTACTAACTAAACGAAATTTTCGAGTCCAATTCAATTCTCTTTAAAATCCAACCGAATTGGACCACACCCAACACTAATCAAATTAATTAAATTAACTTAGTAAATTTTCAAATTTATTGAAGTTGCATTTGAATCACTTCTCGACCAAACTATCACGTTTTATACATGAAAGTAAGAGCAGTTGCGCCCTCAACAATGATCAAGAATGCTCGTGGTATTGATGGTTTTAATGCAGAAAAATAAACAAGAAAATGCCCCATCAAATATCAAATAGTCAATATTACAGCACACCTTTCCTTCTAAGAAAGAGGCTCTGGTTATAATTTTATGGATAGGCAAAAGATTGGCCAAGACATGACTTATTAGACCAAGTAACAATATAAAATATGAGCCAACAAACTATAGAGAAGTGGTCTAACTCAATTAAAAGGTCATTGAACTAAGCAACGGATTAGGAGCAGCACAAATTAATGGTTGCTTCCAGTTGCTCCAATTTGTCCTTAGGTTAAGCCAATTGATTTTGATGTTGATGTATAAATAATCCAATAACATTTTAACATCATCGTCCATATTTATTAGGTGTGAAAACCAACAACCTTGTTAAACTTAAAACTAGTACGATGTTATAAATTAGATATCCAATGTAAGGATTCAAAATCTACCAGTAAATAAACATACCATTGGAGTGTAGTAGTTTCGTGAAAATTCTCCATACAATTTGAAAATTTCAAATTAAGTTAGAGCTTTAAATAAAGCTAGAAGAAAGTACGACAGCTTCAAATTTTTCGAAGGATTTCCTAATTGGTGATAATTCATGCTTGTTATGTGATTTAATTAAGAAGCTAGCTACACAGCATGTCATGTATAATGGTAGTTCTGAACATATACCTTTCTTAAATATTAACTATCAGCTGTTACTCTCAAATGGAACAATTTCGATTGCTTTATTGAAGAATAATTTATTGGATTTACCAATAGGTTATCTAGAGAGAAAAGACTACACATCAAGAGAAATTGGTTTAAAGCCTAAACTAATGAGTCAAGTTAATGGAAACCTACCCTGATGACTGGATATTCCACTGATTAGTATGAACTTGACCGGCCCTTCAGAATTTCACTTGACGAATTTTCAACATACTTATTGAACCTAAGAAGGTTCAAAAGCCAAACTAATGAACATGATAGAGTACCAAAGTTTGATATCAGAGATAATATGTTTGATCTATTGTCTAGGCTTGCAATAAAGGCTAATAGTTCAAAATGTTGCATTCATTGATTAGCTAAACAAGTTCGATAAAGTTTTACTAAAGAAAGTTCAAAGTAAAAGTCATAAAGCATAATCTTTTAGAAAGTACTATTCCTCGTCTTCATTGTTCTAGGTCGATTTCTTCCATTCATGTGAGGGATTATTAGAATTTACAGTACACATCGATTAAATGTATGTATTGGAATAACTCTTCAATAGGTGCAATGATTGTATGTGACTCCTGAAGTGGAATATAATTTAGCTCAAATCCGAAAGATATGATTTTCCTATTTCTAATTTTCAATCCAAACCCAACATAATCAAATTGACTTAAATTTTATCCAAATCTATTACTCTACTGTAGTGTTGCTCCTATCATTTTGAAGAAATCGACTTGAAACTCAATAGCATCTCCTTTAATTATTCTGAGCCTGTGATTTTAAAAACAATAAAATTTATGAAGAATTTAGCAAATAGAGATGCAAAAGACACTTAAGATTAGATTACGTTATTTTCTTAAGAGTTAAGATTGAACATATCATTGTTAAATTAATGTAGCTTTGTAAATATTAAAAAAAATTAAATATAGTACGGAACTCGAGAATTGAACCGAATCGAACCGAACCGAATCGAATGGAATCGAACTTGAACGGTTTCATAATTAAATTTGGATCCGACGGTTCCAGTTACTAACTACCCTATAATTTCGAGTCCGGTTCAATTCTCTTTAAAATCCAACCGAATTGGACCACAGCCCTATTCAAATTAATTAAATTAACTTAGTAAATTTTCAAATTTATTGAAGTTGCATTTGAATCACTTCTCGACCAAACTATCACGTCTTATACATGAAAGTAAGAGCAGTTGCCCCCCTCAACTTTTAATGATAAAGCATGCTCGTGATATTGATGGTTTTAATGCAGAAAAAATTAACAAGAAAATGCCCCATTAAATATGATGTTAACAGTTACCATAAATGAAATTACTTCTTAAAATGATGAAGAAAAAACATATGTCTGTGCACAATGACGTTATTGAAGCGTGAATTTTAATCACTAATTATTTCAGCCAAAAAATATCCGTAAAAGATTAAGTGGGAGAAAAAAATAGCTAATTACAAATGCACATATTAAGACGATAGAGTTGTCAAGAAAGTTACTTATTAATGTAAGAATAAAAAACCTTCAAAATTTTAACATATATAAAAGGTTTTTCAATTATTAACTTTTTATTTAGTATATCTCAAAGAAATATGTATGAGTAATCATTTACGTGAAGAAACCACATGATCATTAATACCCAACCAAAACATTACCAATCCTCTCTCTAAAACCACATTTTTTCTTATAATCGTGAAAATCCATAATTATCGCCTTCGATGATTCAGTTATCATTTCTAGGATTTTATGGTATTGAAATTTAAGAAACCATAATTTACTATTAAAATTTATTCTTTAGTTACACCCTAACTTTACCCTGGATGGGTATGTCAACATAAATAATTAAAGCTAAAACAATAAGAAATCTCCTTTGCAGTTGGACCACTATTCCAATTGTAAAAATAAAATTAGAATTTTCAGATGGAAAACTGAATCAGAGAATTGGACGCAATAAATACCATATTAGTCATGGTATTGTTGATTCCATTTCAAAAAATTCCATTCTGAACAGGCTTGGTCGAATTTAATGACACTGTGCATTTTTGTCCATACCTACCGTTAATTAAAATACTCGATTCATCATGGGTGTGTTTGGCGCTGGAATTCCATCTGATAAAGATTAAAATTGATCTAATCCAGCATTTAATATGAATAATACGTAGTATAAAATATGAAAATATCTAGGAGTTAAGAATGGACCTATTGAAATTTACTCCCACAAGCAATTCAGCGTGATGAATAATATTGAATATTTAGGAAATTAGATAATTGTAATTTAATGATTAGGCAGAAGAATATTTCATATTAAATAAGAAGAGTAATATAAGGTAAGATTTTAAATGTTTTAAACGAAATGCAAAGGGGAAAAAAAATCAATAAATGAAGAAATGAAAAATTTTAAGGAAGGTGCAATTATGTGTGATGTAAAAATAGCAAATTGGAAAGAATTGCCGAAGATTTGCTTATAGAAACTCTTCTCATGTTGTCTGTGAAATCTTTGATTCGATTTAGATGTGTTTCTAAAACTTGGAGAGAACTCATAAGGAGCACCAAGTTCATTGCCATGCATTTGGAACATGACAAAGATGAAATAGTCGTCATCTGCAGTTACATGCAAAAAGAGAACCAACATATGATCTCCTTGCATTCAAATGAGGATTCTCTTAGCCAAGTATCAACAAATGTGAGAATTCCATATTTTGATGCGCGAACACAACTGCAAATTTTGGGTCCATGCAATGGTTTGATTTGCATTACTAATTATTACACCATCATGCTGTGTAATCCCGTCTTACAAGAATTTTGCTTATCCCCCGATTGTCCTTTTCCTTGCTCGCATGGTTTTAGACCGATAGTATTCGGGATGGGGTTTGGCTTCGATCCATGTACTAATGACTACAAAGTTTTTAGAATGTTGGAAGTTGTAAATAATGATGAGGATGAGTATTGGAACGACAACGGCCCCAAATATGAGATATACAATTTAAGTACTGATTCCTAGAGAGAAATCAATGCAAAAGTTGTTGGTAAATTTAATTGGTAGTGTATGGAGTGGAATCGGATTCTCATTTACCGAATATGTGATTTAGACACCGGATTCACGCTTACCGTAGTTGGCAGTTCAATTCACCGTATATAGCAGCTTATCGTATATATCAGGCAGCTCACCGTATTTGGCAGCTTGCCGTCTATGCCAGGCAGCATGCCGTATTTGTACCTTACTGTATTTATAGCTTACCGTATATGCTGCCTATCGTATTTACAGAACGCTCACCTATATGGCAACTCACTGTATTTGCAGGCGAAGCTCAATGTATTTGCACAAATTTTGCATAAAGTATTTTTATTCACACACTAACTAAAATAATACAAATTTTTTCACTTACAAATAGAAATATCATATATGTGAAATTTATTTTTCACACATATAACGAATTGAAAAAAAAAATGTGTATTTTTTTTCCCTTTTAGTAATCTATTTCTAACATAAATTTAACAAACAATATATGAGACGTGTAAATCGCTAAATAAATAAATCTGTAAGAATAAAATGCAAATTAAATAAATAGCAAATAAATTTTCAATCCGAGGCCCGTGCGAACACGGTTTCCTTAAAACAGATTCGCCCCCTCATCGTAAGTGCTTGAGGTCTAGTCCGAGTGTCTGTTTTTCAAGATACAACGGAAAACCAATAGAATCTAAGCACTACAGAAACTACTTCGGCGAACCGATTTAGCATCTGACAGTATCACCACCACCATGACTTCACTGGGCAGAAAGAAGACGACGACAGAATCTGGGAATTTTCGTGCAAAGAGAATTTCGTGTGTTTTTCTGGTGAGATTTTTCATATATTTTATAGCTGAAAAACTTGAGATTTAATATAGCATAAATCTACTATTAACTCTATGGCAATTAACATTGGAGTCACTTCAATTTCTAGGAATTTTGGAAGTTTCAGAAACTCAAAAGTCAGTGGAGAAAGCAAAAAAAAATTGCAAAACGTGGGCTCTCCGGAGGTGCCAATTTTTGCTATGTTCGGTCCGACATTCGTGTACGCAGGTCGCACCCGCACACAAGTTCAAAGTCCGAAGGCAATTTCGATTCGAGATTTGCACCCCCTATGCACACATGTGGAGAGAGTCTCTATGCTACACATGATTACACCCTTCCAATGTGCAACCATATTTAAAGTGGTTCTTGCTTTTATATTTTTCTTATGTGGGACTAACTTCAATTTTTCCCACATAAACATCTTCAAATGGTCATTTTTGAGCTCCAATTTCGCGTTCACCCATTCATCAATTTTGGCAAATAAATATATTGTTTCGATACTTTCACAGAGGAGAACAAGGATCAACTTTGATCTTCCAAATAGAACCAACGGATCCCACCGAAAATTTTGCCAAAAGTGAGCCATTTACTCATTTTTTCCCAACAATCCCCCACATGAATGAAAATTGGGAGAGACATGAGACCGTGAGACACGAGACTTGGTGACCGTGAGACACAAGACTAGGTGATAAAGTTCAACGGTTGAAACTTGCATAGGATAGGTAGGTATTATCCTTTGAATCTTCCCTTGTGAAAGCATATTTACTTTACTAGCTGACCAGTAGACGTGTTGTCCTTGAACTATTCTGCCGTTTATGTAAACGATGATATACTCCACACATGATTCTTCCTAACATAATTCAGTTCTCATTATTATGTTCGTTTTGACCATGAACATATGCCTGGTTCTATGAGAGTTCTTAAGAATTGAGCCACACACAATTCTCTTAGAAGCAACCCCACTTCTCTCTCACATAGGTGATTTCTTATACAAGTAACCCGCATTACTTGACTCGAATTTTGATGCATAAGAATCATTAAATGCCTATTACTTATCCTTCATCCTCACGGGTATCACTGTTACATCATAGGAATGGACAGAAGGAGACACCCCCACAGTGATTTTATTAAGCCTTTACAATTAGGTTGTCCCTATGAACCTAGATCTTGGGTTCTCCAGTCAACTAAGTTGGCTTTCCTTTGAAATGACTTATTTATTCAAGGACTAAGTCTCATTCCTTTCGATGATTTTTCAACTAACTCTCTGTTTAACCCTTTGGTTAGCGGATCGCAATGTTATCTTTTGACCTTACATACTCAACAGTGATAACTCTAGTTGAGAATAGTTGTCTTCTGTCTAGACTTACCATTGTACATGTTACTCTATGCCCTTCCTATTGCTAATTGACTGTCACAATATATGCAAATTGCTGGCACAGGTTTTGACCATCTTGGAATATTCTCTAAGAAGTTGCGCAACCATTCGGCCTCTTCACCACATTTATCTAGAGCTATAAACTCAGATTCCATCGTAGATCTAGCTATAACTGTTTGCTTAGAGGATTTCCTTGATATAGCAACACCTCCCAATGTGAACACAAATCCACTGGTGGACTTTGAGTCTTTTATATCATATATTCAATTAGTATCACTGTATCCTTCAATGACCGCTGGATATCTGGTATAATGAGTTCATAGTCACGAGTATATTTTAAGTACCTTAGTACTCTTACTATTCCTTTCCAGTGATCATCTCTTGGATTACTCGTGTATCTACTTAGTTTACTGACTGTGTAGACTATATCCGGTCTTGTACAACTCATCAAGTACAATAGACTTCCAATAACTCTCGAGAATTCTACTTGAGAGACAATTTCACCGTTGTTTTTAGATAGATGTTGACTTGCATCTATCAGTGTTCTAGCCAAGTCAATATCATCTTTATTGAACTTTTCCAAAATTTTGTCCATATAATGTGACTAACTTAGAACAAGCTCAACTGATGTTCTTGAGATTTTGACTCCAAGTATAACATGAGCTAAACTCATATCTTTCATGTCAAATCTCGAATTTAACATATTTTTAGTAAATTCAATCATCTTATTCTCACTACCAACAATAAGTATGTCGTCAATGTAAAGACACAAAATGGCATAACCATCTTTAGTGTCTTTGACGTAAACACATTTGTAACACTCATTGATTTTAAATTCATTCTCTATCATGACATTATCTAATTTTTCATACCATTGTTTAAGTACTTGTTTAAAGTCATATAGTGACTTCACCAATTTACAAACTTTCTTTTCTTGCCTTGGTGACAAAAACCCCTTAGATTGTTCTATATAGATTTCTTCTTCTAAATCTCTATTTAGAAAGGCAATTTTAACATTCATTTGATGTACATCAAGATTTCGCAAAGCGACAATCGCAAATATCAACCTAATGGATGTTATTCTCGTCACTGGAGAATACGTATCAAAGTAATCAAGGCCTTCTCTTTGTTTGTAACCTTTTATTACTAATCTAGCCTTATACTTTTCAATAGTTCTATCTGCTCTCATTTTCCTTTTGAAAATCCATTTATAGCCTAGTGGTTTGCTTCATAGAGGAAGATCCACTAGCTCTCATGTATGATTTGCAGTATGGAATCTATCTCACTTTTAATGGCCTTCTTCCATTCAAGTCCTTCCGAGGAATTCACAGCCTCTTGATAACTTTGAGGTTCACTTTCTAGCATATAGGTTAGAAAATCAGGACTATACGATTTTTCTGTCCTTTCTCGTTTGCTACGTCTGACTTCAGTCTCCTCTTCCAGTTCTTCGTTATGACTATTTTCAGTTATAGTCTCATATGTTCATTTGGAGGAGTTTGCTTCCTCTTTGGACTTGTACGAAAATACGCGTTCAAAGAATGAAGCATTTCTTGATTCCAATATCGTATTTTTGTGTATGTCTGGGGTTTTAGAATCATACACAAGAAACCGATAAGCACTACTATTGTGTGCATAGCCAATAAAGATGCAATCTACCGTTTTTGGTCTTATCCTTACCTTCTTTGGTGTTGGAACAGCCACTTTAGCAAGACACCCCCACACTCGTAAATATTTAAAGGAAGATTTTCTTCCTTTCCATAACTCATAAGGAGTCTTTTCTATTTTCTTTTGGGGCACCTTATTTAAAAGGTAATTTGCTAATAACACAGCTTCCTACCACATGTTCTGAAGTAACCCAGAACTTACAACATTGCATTAATCATTTCCTTTAAAGTACGATTTTTCGTTCAGTAACACCGTTTTGTTGTTGTGAATAAGGTGTGGTGGTTTCATGTATAATTCCGTGTTGTGCACAAAATTTCGCAAATGGTAATTCATACTCACCAGCTCGATCGCTTCTTAACAGCTTAATTTTCTTATTAAGTTGAGTTTCAACTTCACTCTTATAGAGAACAAATTTCTCTATAACTTTATCTTTACTTTTTAACAAATACACATAATAGTATTTGGTGCTATCGTCGACAAAATTAATGAAATACTTGTTGCCACCTCTTGTTTATATAAGTCTTAAGTCATATACGCCACTGTGAATTAAATCAAGTGATTTTGTGTTCCGTTCAATTGATTTAAACGATAACCTTGTCAATTTTGTCTCAACACAAGTTTCGCACTTATGTTTTGAATCAATGTGGAACTCGGGTATACAATTCAAGTTAACTAGTCTTCGTAAAGTATCATAGTTAATATGTCCTAATCTACCATGCCACAAATTGGAAGACTCAAACAAATAAGCAGAAGAGTTTACTTTATTCATTTTTATTTTAACAACCATTACATTGAGCTTAAACATACCATCAGAAACATATCCTTTTCTGACAAACATTCCACTTTTTGACAAAATAACTTTGTCTGACTCAAATACAATGCGAAAGCCATGCTTATTCAAAAGCAACCCAGACACCAGTTTCTTGTGAATTTTCAGCACATATAGCATATTATTGAGAGTCGGCTCTTTTTCCGAGGTCATCTTCAAAACCACCTTTCCTTGACCTTTGATTTCAGAAGTTGCTGAATTTCCCATGAACGACTTTTCCCAATTCTCAATTACTTCAAATGTAGCAAACAGCTCCTTATCAGAGTACACATGCCTCGTAGCACCGGTGTCAATCCAC